GGTTGCAGTCTCAGCCGAACCCCAGCTGAGAGCAGAGCTGCCTGGTTGAGCCCATCAACCTGCAGCACTGTCAGAATCAGCTCCTCTGGGCTTTCCAGGTTGCCACTGTGGGCTGCGTTTATTTGTTTGTTTTAAAGATATTTATTTATTAGAGAAAGAGAGAGAAAGAGAGAGAGAGAGAGAGAGAGAGAGAGAGAGAAAGTAGGGCAGAGGCAGAGGGAGAAGCAGACCCCCTGCTGAGCCTGGAGCCCCATGCTGGACTCCATCCCAGGGCCCTGAGATCATGACCTGAGCCGAAGGCAGACGCTTCGCCGACTGAGCCCCCCAGGCGCCCTTGTGGGCCTGTGGCCTGTGGTTTTTGCAGCAGTGGATGAGAGGCCGGAGGAGCAGGGGGCAGCTGGTTCTGGAGGCGGCAAGGCTTTGCAGGGAGGGGCGGAGGGACAGCGCCTGGACAGCACACATGCAGGGAGTTGCTCCTGGGCACCCAGAAGAACCAGAGGGCCTGAGGGAAGTTTCCCAGGAAGGTCCGAAAAAGGCTGGCCCTTTAGTCCAGCGCTGGGTCCTCCCATGGGCGGGGGCACCAGCTCTTCTCCAGGCTGGCAGACGTGAGCCCCACGGTTTTCCCCTGCTGCCCCGCCTGCCCCTCCACCTGACCTGTAATCAGGGTGGCCCTTGGGGCCTCAGCCCGGGCTGCTGTGGCATCCTCAGGCCTCCAGGACTGGGTCTGCAGTCGGGCACCTTGCTGACAAATGCACTGTCTGGACGGAAGACCTGGGCTCCGCACCTGGCCCTGGAGTGCCCTGGGCCCTACTCCATCGGTGCTGGGACGGGGACTGAGTGTCAGCGTGGGCCTCCTCTCCCTGCAAGTCCCCGCTGGTGCCAGGGTCCCTGGGACTCTCCACACCCTTCCCAGATGTGTTCCCTCCTGTTGGGCTCCCACCCAGAGGCCAAGCAGCGGCCTCCTCCCAAACCTCCTCCCCCAGGACTCTGCCAAGGCCCTGTGGTGACCCCAACATGCAGGTGCTGAAAAATGCAGATTCCTGGGAACCGCCAGAACCACCGGCCCTGCAGCCTCCGTGTGGACGGGCCCCGGGTGAGGAGGACAAGTTGTGAGGTGGCGGCCACAATCTCGACTCCAGACACCGTGATGCCTCCCCAGCGCTTGGGCCACCCCCGCCGTGTCCCCTGCTCCCAGCTGCCTGGCTTTTAGTTACATGTTTCTTGTTGCCCCAGTTGAGTGACAGGCCCAACCCAGGCTCTCTCGCCCCCTCTCAGATGCGTGGGGGATGTGTGCCTGTGATTTCTGCGTGGGGCTCGGTGTAGCCCTGGAGGCATTATGGACGTGGGCAGGTGGGCACAGCTCTCATCATGTGAGAGCCTCCAAGCTCTTCTCTGGCCTTCTCAAATTGTCTCAGCTTGACAAAAAGGTGTTGCAATTATTCCCACTTTGCTTCAAGCAGCAGGCTTCAGTGACCTGCCCAGGGCCCCGCAGGGCTGCACCTGGAGAGCCCACAGGACAGCCTGGGGCCCAGTGCGCCACCCCCACTCAGGGAAGAGGCAGGCCCAGGTGATCCTGGTGACCGTGGTAACAGCCTGTGCTGGCTCCGTGCCCCTCTCATGAGGGTCTTAACTGGCATCATCTAGGGCAAAGCCAAGCCATGGTGGTGATCGGTTCTGGGTGGTCTTTGCCAAGATGTGCTGATGAAGGGAGAGGAAACAAGGACAGGAGTTGTTTCTGACTTAATCCTGAGAGGGAAGAGACGAAGATGAGGTTTTAGGTGGGGCCATGTGCCCCCATGGGTCATGAGAACAAAGAGCAGGCTGGCTGGGATAGCTGTGCACCAGCCTGCAGAAATGTGATCCCAAGAAGAAAAGGTTTTTTAAGCCTGCAGCAAAAGGTTCTAGAAGGATTTAATTAAAAATTGTATTTTGGGGATCCCTGGGTGGCGCAGCGGTTTGGCGCCTGCCTTTGACCCAGGGCGCGATCCTGGAGACCCGGGATCGAATCCCACGTCGGGCTCCTGGTGCATGGAGCCTGCTTCTCCCTCTGCCTGTGTCTCTGCCTCTCTCTCTCTCTCTCTCTGTGTGACTATCATAAATAAATAAAAAAAAATTAAAAAAAATTTGTATTTTGGAAGCTCTTGCTCATATCTTGCTAATGCTCATGATAGGATGCAAACCTGCACATCTGGCTTACTGGTTTTATGATACATTATGTATATCACAGAGCAAAATGATCTGGAAGTAAATGCATCCAAATATTATCAGTTGGGGTGCCTGGTGGCTCAGTTTGTTGAGCGATGCTCGATTTCGGCTCAGGTCATGATCTCAGGGTTGTTGAGACTGGGCCCTGCAATGGGCTCCACCTTTAGTGGGGAGTCTGCTTGCGATTCCCTCTATCTCTCTGTCCCTCCCCTGCTCGTGTGCTAATAAATCTTTTTTTTTTTTTAAAGACTTTATTTATTCACGAGAGACATAGAGAGAGGCAGAGACACAGGCAGAGGGAGAAGCAGGCTCCATGCAGGGAGCCTGACGTGGGACTTGATCCCGGGTCTCCAGGATCAGGCCCTGGGCTGATCACCGCGCCAAACCACTGGGCCACCGGGGCTGCCCTAATGAATCTTTTTTTTTTTTTTTTTAAATATTTTATTTATTTATTCATGAGAGACAGAGAGAGGCAGAGATAGGCAGAGGGAGAAGCAGGCTCCTTGCAAGAAGCCAGATGTGGGACTCAATCCTGGATCCTGGGATCACACCCTGAGAAGGCACTCAATCAGAGTCACCCAGGTGTCCCCCCCCCCCTTTTAAATTTTATTTATTCATGAGACAGAGAGAGGCAGAGGCAGAGAGAGGCATGAAGCAGGCTCATGTAGGGAGTCTAATGCGGGACTTGATCCCAGGAATCCAGGATCACACCCTGAGCTGAAGGCAGAAGCCCAACCACTGAGCCACCCAGGCATCCCTAATAAATAAATATTTTCAGTACTTACTTTTGGGTAAGTTGATCCTTTTCTGTATTTTCAAATTTTTCTATTTTAAAACCTTTTTTAAATTTTATTTTTTTAAATTTTCTTTTTTAAATTTTTTTTTTATTTATTTATGATAGTTACACACACACACACAGAGAGAGAGAGAGAGAGAGAGAGAGAGAGAGAGAGAGAGAGAGAGAGGCAGAGACACAGGCAGAGGGAGAAGCAGGCTCCATGCACTGGGAGCCTGATGTGGGATTCGATCCCGGGTCTCCAGGATCGCGCCCTGGGCCAAAGGCAGGCGCCAAACCGCTGCGCCACCCAGGGATCCCATTTTTTATTTTTTTAAAGATTTTATTTACTCATGAGAGACACAGGGAGGGAGGGGGGTGGGCAGAGATACAGGCAGAGGGAGAAGCAGACTCCATGCAGGGAGCCCGATATGGGACTTGATCCTAGGACTCTGGGATCATGACTGGAGCCAAAGGCAGACACTCAACCGCTGAGCCACTCAGGCATCCCTATTTTAAAACATTTTTGTGAAAAAAAAAACAACAAACATTTATGTGTATACATAAATGTGTATGTAATGTGTATAACATATATCTATCTCTTCAAGGAGAGTAAGTTTGGATGGTACAATTACACATGCATCTGTAAAAAGCAGTTCCCTCTACAGGGAGATGTGTCCATTCAAGCATCTCCATGAGGTCAGATTCCAGGAGACAGGTCTTCGGGTGGCCGACAGACCATGGCAACAAAGATGTGCCCATGAAGGGTGAGGACGCAGCCCAGGACTGGTGGGTTGACACTTTTTTGTCATGGAGTCTGGAGAGCAATCTGGCAAAAGTCATAGAATACATACCCCATTCCTTTTAGGCACAACTCTGCTCCTAGAAAATACATCCTTTGAAACATCCAAGGTGCTCACTGAGGTGTGGAGTGGTGGCAGAAAGTGAGAAGCACCCAAATTTTCCATCAGGATGGCAGAAAGAGAACCAACCAATCAGACTGAGAGGGAGCTCTGTGGTTGTAAAGGGTGGGCGGGGGGGGGGGGGAGCGGGAAGGCAGGTCCCATTTAAAGGTGTGGAATCACTTTTATTTTTTTTTAAGTAGGCTTCACGCTCAATGTGGGGCTTGAACTCACAACCTTGAGATTGAGAGTCACCTGCTCCACGGAGTCAGCCAGATGCCCCTGGAATCACTGTAGTAACAACCAGGGCGGGAGAACCCACAAGTGGGTATGTGCATGGAGCGTGGGGAAGGCAGGAGGAATAGGACCTTGGTTATTTGGGTGGAGTGGAAAATGTGGCAGCAGACAGGGAAAACAGCCACTGCCTTGTTCCTTGCTGGGAGCTTGGGACAAATTGACCAGGGCATGGCTGCAAATATGTAAAATATGGAACATGTACCAGCACAAGGACAGGATGGATGGCATGGACTATTTTGAAGCTGGGAATGCATGTATGTTTTGTCTTGGATTTATTTCAGCATACTTGGGACTCTGTTGGGGAGGGCTGTGCCTGAGGGAGGTGGCTCCAGTTGGCAGCAGGAACTCAACGCTGGCTTCCCTGCTCAGATGCTCCGCTCTCAGGAGCTTTGTCTCCTGGTCCTGGAGGGAAGACGACGTGCTTCCTCCCATCCTTTGCTGGGTCCAGCCTCTGCAGGTAGCTTTCCAGGCTAGTCAGTGGCTTGCGGCCCAGACCTGGAAGAGGGGCTGAACACACTTTCTGGAAGGGGCCTCTGTGCCAAAAAACAAACCCCCTCCCTTTGTGCTCAATTGTGCCTTGGTAGCCAACCAAGCAGGGTCAGTGTGACACATTACCCGATCTTCCTTCTGGGAACAAGGGACAGGAGTCTCACTTCTCCCCACAGGGCCAGGTGTTCAGGGACAGGACCAGTAATTCTCCAGCAGCAGCCAGCATCTGCTACTGGGGAGCAGTGGCCTCACAGACCCAAGCACTCCCCTGTAATCCTGTGGGGATGGTGGGCCTGCTGGTGCCATGTGGACAGAGGAGACTGGAGGGAACGTAGTGCACAAACATTTATTTACAAAAAGTCCAAGTTACATATGATACAGGCTTTTTACACACAGTAGTTTAAACAGAATTATTTGGATGTATTTTACTACCAGAAGGTACAGAAAAAAATTTAATAAACTAATCACTTTTGCTATTTTTATACAAAGTGACAAGTCATGCATTTTTTTTTTTTTTAAGTTTTAAAACCTTTGCTAAGTGCAAATACTAGATTCCTCTCTCCAGTTTAAGGCAAGTAGAACAGGACTGTCGCTGGGCAGTCTCTGGCTTGGGGAAGCAAACACGGTGGCCCAGGGGGTGTGCCAGGCTGCCTCTGGGATTCCTGCCTCTTCCCCAACACTGGTTGGTCTCTGTGGGTTTTCTCTCCTCACACCTTGCAGCCCCTTGCTGGCTTGTTTGGGGACCACCGTTCCCTCTCTCCCAAGTGGTCTCTAGTGCAGGCTTCTCAAGAAGCCCGGGGGTCCTCTGGGACACAGGCACCCAGAGGGTCACTTTGCAGACAGGTGGGACCTCATGCTAGTGTCAGGACTCAGGGCAACGACTTCGACCCAAATAGCAACTGTGCTGCTGCAGACTTGGGAGCCGCTCTACAGTCCAGCACAAGGAGGGACATTAGAAACTGGGTGCCCTCAGTTCCCTAGCAGCTGTGCATGGCTAGAAACATCCAGAATTCATCTCAAAGAAAAAGTCCTCAGTTCAGCCTTGGGGGCAAACCAATTATTCTGATCCCTTCCCTCTTGTGCTGGGGGGAATCCTGCCAAGTTCTAGGGGACTTGCTGGATGGCAGTGTCAAGAGGTATGCCACCCACCTGGGGCCTGTCCTATTAGATGCCCAAAGCACTCCGCAAAGCCTGGTGCTCTGGTTGCAGGGGCCCAGGAGATTCTGGTGTGTCTATTTGGTGGGACATCTGCTGAAAGCTCACCACTCTGAGACCCTCCCTTGGGGATGCACAGGGACCAAGCTATAAAGGGACTTCAGTCCTGTCACCATACCCTGCAGTGCACCCCCCACCAGGGCTCTCCCAGGGCATTGCCCCTCTTTGTGTGTCCCACCCCCCAAATCCAGAGAACTCTGCAAAGCCCTCCCTTGGAGAAAAAGCAGAAGGAAGAGCAGACAACTTAGCAGGTTTCTCCCCATTTTAATCCTTGAAATCCATTAGAGTGATGGCAGCAGGTGCCCATGCACAAGAATGCACGGTCCTGGGCATGGCCCTCCGAGATGGGGGGTTTGGCCATTAGGCTCACCCTTTTGAGGTCTGTGTAGACACACTAGGAACAGCCATCAGGTATAGCAAGTGAAAGAGGCTGACACTGGGCAACCAGGCAGGGTCACTCCTGTGGAGGGCTCTGCTCTGCACAGCGGGTGTTAACATGGGATGGAGCCTTGGGTGGGCTGGGGCTGCCCAGGAAAAGATGAGTGGTAAGGGGCAGGGATCCCCCCATGCCGACCCAGAGCTAGACTCACCTGACCTCGGGCAAGGGTGGCTCCATAGGTGGGTGCTGGTTATAGTCTGGGTCCTCTGTTCCTCTGTGGAAACCCGTAGCTACCACCAAACCTCAGGGGAGAAGCTGCTCATTACCTGGTTGGTGGTAAAGAAGGCTTCCCAACAATTGGGCTGCCTGGGAGAGCCACTAAGCCTGTCACTGGCGCCTTGAAAGGACCTTCTGTTTGGCAAGATTCAGGACCATCCCGCTCTCATCGGCTGCCTGGCATGGGGTAACAGATTTGACTTTCCAGAGACTGAACGAGAGAAACTCTAGTAGGCCACAGAAAACCCAGTAAGTTCAAAGTGAGTAAACAGCAAATATTTCTTTAAACTACAGAACAGAACTGATAGCATGAGATGGCTCTCTGTGGTCTCATCTGAGTGGGCCAAAGACAAGAGAGACCTGAATAGTTAACGGTGGCAGCAGCCTGGGGTTCTGAATTTGGGGGATAGAGTCTGCAGCTTCCCCACCCTGAGCAGTGCTCCCAGGCCTGGGGACATGGCTCTGCCACCACCTCACTGGGATCAACTGGCTTGGAGCAGCAGGGGGCATCTCACTCTGGGTGGGCAGCAGCACTGGGGCAGGGGTGGGGGGATGGGCTGCAGTGTTGGGGTGGGGGTGGGGCAAGAACCCAGCCTTCATGACCTGGTTCAGATGGCTAAGCTTTCTCCAAACTCCCAACTCCCTCCAACTGCTGCTTCAGCTTTATCACACCTCAGACTGTGCTGCGGTAAGGAAGGCCTACATGGTTAACTGAGAGATGTGTGGGTCTGCCAGGGGGAAGGGACAGACACAAGTACTTCCCCCATCTGTCTGTAGGGATGGGATTGGTAGAGCAGAGAAGGGCTACCTCATGGTGAGGGTCCCTGCACTGCCACTCAGACAGAACTCTCTAGGGAGGCCCCAATGTCCCCTTTATCTCTGGCCTAGCCAGTGCCAGACATCCTTTTATAAGTACCTGAGGGCACCCGCCTGCTGGCCGCTCTTCAAGGGACAGTGCCCCTTCCCAGGAAGGAGCAGGAAAAAAACCCAGCCTATCCTTTTGAGAGCTAAGCACATCATCCCTACTCAGAAGGCATGGCCTTGGGGGTGAGGTGGGGATCTAGGGAACCCCTGGCCCTGCACAGTCTGGGCTGCTCAGCGGTGGGGCTCCTGGGAGGCAGCGGGGAGCAAAGCTGTCAGAAGCGATGCCGTGGCTGGGGGCCAAAGTGCATAGGCAGGTTGTGCTCCAGAGGCATATGGACGGGAGCAAAGTCGTAGTTGACACGCACATTGGGCAGAGGGGGCACGTAGGGGGCTGGGACGGGGCCCATGTTGAGAGGGAAGTTGTTGAACATGGGCCGGACAGGTGGCAGGGGGAAGGGCGGATGCACGAAGGCATAGGGGGGGATCTGTGGTTGGTGCAGGTTCTGTGGGACAGGCCTCGGCAGGGCTTCAATCCTCTGGACTTTCTCTGGAGGCTTCTCCAAGGGGGGCCCGATGCGTTTGAAGGTGTTCTCTGAACAGGAGATGGGATTTAGTAGAGAAAACAAAACCAACTGTGCTTGCATGCAAGTTGGGAGCAGGGCTGCATATCCTGACCTCAATCCCACCTCTCCCAAGTTGAGAGCCCAGAGCATGAGCCCAGGCCAGGCATATCTGACCTATGGACACAGGAGAGGTGCCCAGGCCATCGTAAGGCTGATTAGTGTGTGTGTGTGCACCAACCCCCTCAGCTGGCCAAGTGCTCACTCAGGGATCACCCTGGAAGGTGGCAGATTCTATGAGGGACTTTCCTTCAGAGCCAGGACCTGGGTGCCACTCCCAGAAATCCCACTTCATTCTTTTGTGACGTCAGAGAGGCCAGGGTGGGCCTATGGTCTTTTTAGTCTAGTTTGGGTTCTATGTCCTTAGCTCAAACCCACCCCTGGGGACCTCCTGACCACCAAGGGGATATGGGAACTCTCCTATGCTTTCACAGCCTCTACCATATGGAGTTGGATGGATGCCTGGGCAGATCGTGTCTCAATCCACCTGAAGGCCAGCACTCCCTGGGTGAAGGGCCAGCTGTGGAGCCTGTCCCCCGCCCCCTAAACACAGAGCACTGGGCACTGGGCCCAAGCTGGGGAAGCGCTTGCCTCCATTCTTTCTCTTCTGCTCCTCTTCAGCCTCCTTCTGGATCTCCTCAATTAGCTTCTCATCGTCTTCCTAGAAGAAAAGCAACAAGATGGTGAGCTTGCTCCAACCAGTTCCATGCAGTGCGGAGACCCCACTGGGACCCGGGGGAGGCCGGCTTGTTCCGGTCAACACACTACTCATTCCCAGACCCCGAGGGTCTCCTTCCTTCATCAGTGGATGATGCTCCCATGAGGAAGCCCACCTGAAAGGCCTGGCTCAGAAGTGGGACTGTATATGGTGGTGGCTGCCTGGGGGAGGGGCAAGAGCCTGCTTTGTTCCCTAGGTGTAAAGTAAACAGAGGAAGGCCTTTCTGCAGCTCAAGGTGGGCAGGTGTGGGAAGGGGGTGGCTCTGGGGTGGGCAGGGACTGAGGAGTTTCAGAACCAGAGTCTAGGAACTCTGAGCAAGACACCCTTTTGGGCAAAGCCCAACAGTCTTCCTGATTCCCTGAACTCAGGTAGACAAATGTCTACTCAGGCCACCTGAGCCCTGAAGCTGGTCTTTAGTTTCTACACGGCTAGTGGGCTGTAGAAGGAATTGCGTTCTGCCAGTGGAATGGTGGTCGGGGGCTGGGGCCTGTGTGTGGGAGGAAGGGCACTGCAGTTTAAGAGCATGATGAACGGAGTGGAACATAACCAACTATGTGGATCTGAACTAAATGACAGGTGGGCTTGTTTCCTGGGGTGTTCCAGCTGCTTCTTCAGGAGTTAGGAACAGTCAAGCTGGGGAGAAGTGTGAGGAGGGCACTAGTGCCCAGGATGGGGGCAGGAGGCACAGAGGAAGTTCCAGTACTTGAGGAGGTGCTTCCTAGACAAGGCACTGGAGTCTCCCCACACACAGGTGTGTCCTGGGCTGGAACAGTTTCAGTGATAGCTTTGGATTTTTCACACTGATCTGAGGCTCTGAGCAACTGATGGCATCCAGGGAACTTCTGAGATGTGAATGGAAGACCACAGAAGAGGGCATGTGAGCTGGAGGAGCACCCTCCCTGGACCAGCAGAAAGCGTAGCAGCCCTACCTGAGCGATGGACTGTCTGGATGTTTACTCAGCAAGTTATTAATGTCACCACCAAGACAGCAGTCAGTGATTTCACCATAGAGGTGTGAATCTTGGGGATTTCAAGAGTCAGGACTATCCTTCAATTAGTATGTATTGGACACCTGCTAGTGCTAGACACTATTCTAAGTTTATTGGTTAAACTTCTGATCAACAATGAGACTAAGTCACGCTGATGGAATCAACAAATAGTTATGTAATATATTCCCCTTGTTTGGTAGACAAAAGAACTTAGGATATAGTCACTGGAGGCTGTGGGCTCAGGGGGCAATAGTTGAGAGGCCCTGTTAAATTCGCTAACATCCTCCCTCCCTCAGGTGCCAAATGACAGACCAAACTTACTGGTCTCAAGATTCTTTTCACATTCTTTCTAACATCTGGAAATTCTTAACATACAACTGAATCTTTCTCAGCCTCACCCTGCCAGGTGTTCTGAGCCAAGCAAGAGGAAGAGGAGAGAGCTGCTGAGTGCTTATACACATCAGAGAAGTGCTTGCTGGGTGGAACCTTCAAAGGTGCCATGTCTGTTTCCCAGATAACACATGCAAATTCTCCATTAAAAATCCCAAGACATGGTCATCTAGCCTCTCTGTGAATACTCCAGATGGAACAGATTCCTCTACAAAGGAACCACTAAGCCAACTGACGGAAAGGCTCTGGTAACTCAGTGTAGTTTGACACAGTCTGCAGGTCTCCATGTGGATGTAAAGATACATTCTACCAATTATCTAGAGAAGGAGCTGATGAACCTCATTTTTTTTTAAAAAGATTTTATTTATTCATGAGACACACACAGAGAGGCAGAGACACAGGCAGAGGGAGAAGTAGGCTCCATGCAAGGAGCCTGACATGGGACTCGATCCTAGGACCCTGGAATCATGACCTGAGTCGAAGGCAGATGCCCAACCACTGAGCCACCCAGGTGTCCCCAAACCTCTTTGTTGCCAGTGGAAGGTCCAGGAAAAAAGGATTTTTAATCTAAGAAAAAAAAAAAGTACTGATCCAGAAAACTGTCCAGTAGAAGAGCAGGGGCTCTGTGGTACCTCCAACTAAGCGAATCTCGGTATCTCATCTACAAAATGGGCAGTTGTAAAGACGGAATGAACTCAAGTATGTAAAGGACTTGTCACGGAGCACTCACTACTAAAGGCAGGAAAGTAATGTAAAACCCAGAAATAAAGATTTTAGAAAGATGCGAAGTTTCAGGAAAAGTGGTAGAGACTGGGGGATACCTCTAACACTTGTCCCTATGGCTTTTTCGTGGGGCAGGCGATGCGCTTCCTGACAATTAGGGGCACTAAGTAAACTGTCAGTTGCAGCTAGAGTAAGGGTCAGATGGTTCAGATTTCAACTTCCTCCAACTGCCTGGAGTCACAGGACACTGTTTAGAAACTAAGAATGCAAATGCTTTCAATATTTGTATTTTTAAATTCAGGTTTTGTTAGACTCTACGGGGAAGATTTCTTACTTCATTTGGGGTGGAGGTTCCTTCCCAAACAGTTTCTCTTAAGCATTTATTTTTATTTTTATTTTTTTCTCTTAAGCATTTAAAGCTCCTCAAGTCAAGGGTGAAGGCAGACTGGATCATACATATACTTTAAAAATGGCAAATCTTACTTTATACGTATTTTACTGTGATTTAAAAAAAAATAACGTGGAACACCTAGGTGGCTCAGCAGGTTGACTGTCTGCCTTCAGCTCAGGGCATGATCCTGGGATCCAGGATCGAGTCCCGCATCAGGCTCCCCCTGCAGGGAGCCTGCTTCTCCCTCTGCCTATGTCTCTGCCTCTCTGTGTCTCTTATGCACGAATCAATAAAATCTTTAAAAAAAACAACATTAACAAAAAGAGTTAATGAGACAAGCTTTAGAGTTGAATGAGATTAAAAAAAAAATGAAGACTGGTCCCCTTAGTTTGGGCTGAGGGACAGATGGGCTCTCGAGGCCTTTCTGGAGGGGAATTCCCTTGGGTAACATTCTAAGTACACCAAGTGTCATCATTCACAGTGAACCAGGACATTTATGAAAAAGGCTTGCCACTCTGCAAATCTAGGACACACCAAGGCTGCTGGAAGTGGGGAACAATAGAAGGAAAGCAGATGAGAGAGCCGGGCATGGGAGCCAGGTCAGCGAAGTACCTGACCTCCAGCACCCCCGGAAGGGGCTGAGTCACCCACAGGAAATCCAGGCGTGCTGGAGCGGCTGGCCACCACAGGTCTTATCTTAAAGTAGCACTGGCTTCCTAGCGGACAGGCAGCTGGCGTGATAGGAAGAGCTCCAGTTCTAAGGCTCCACAGAGCTGGGCTGGGTGACCCTATTACACTCCACAATCTGACATGGAACCCATTCACAGGTTTGCTGTGAGAAGCAAATGATCTTTTACAAAGGGCCAGGCACAGCGGCCGCAAAGCTCACATTTATTGAGGGCTATGTCCCAGCTCCTGTTGTAAGCACTTCACAGAGATGAATCTTCATAACAATTCCACCAGTTAGGTCCTATTAATTAACCTCTATATTACAGACAGGGAAAGAGAGACACAGTGAGGTTCAAATCCAGGCCTTTCACTCTTGAGGCCTGAGCTCTTAACCACATAAACCACAGGTTTCTGAACTGGAGCTTCTGGAGCAGGGACTGCAGGGCCCCTGGAACTCTGCCTGCCCTGCCCCAAGCACTGTCAGAGGGCCTGCCTTGTTCTAGAATAAGTGCATCTTAACCTCCTTGAAATACAAGAGGGTTCCTTTCTCTGGGATGGGCAGAACTCCGAAATCTCTTTTCCACTAAATACAACAAGAGAATAGGGCGAAACAAACACCTCCATTCAAGACGACAAACAGCCAACACAGCAGAGAAGGGGGTCATTTCCCTGGAAATTTTTAGGGAATTCTTTTCTTGGTCAGCTCACCCACAAGTGAACATATCCCTTAAAAAAGATCCATTCGGGGTAGCCTCGGTGGCGCAGCAGTTTAGAGCCGCCTGCAGCCCAGGTTGTGGTCCTGGAGACCTGGGATGGAGTCCCACGTTGGGCTCCCTGCATGGAGCCTGCTTCTCCCTCTGCCTGTGTCTCTGCCTCTCTCTCTCTCTGTGTGTGTGTCTCTCATGAATAAGTAAATAAAATCTTAAAAAAGAAAAAAAAGAAAAAAAAAAAGATCCATTTGATGGCCTCTGACTGGCTTCCCCTGGCACCTGGCCTTTGAGACAAAGCCAGCACATCTTCTCACCCAGACAGAGCCCACAAACCTTACTTCCTGAGCCAGGAACCCAAGGTGCAGGCCAGGCTCTACTGCTGAGGCCCAAGAGGCCCTACTGGCTCATGGTGGTGGGCTCCCTGTTGCCTCTGTTGGGGCTACTGTTCTCAGCTCATCTCCAGAGCAGGAACACACACTTTCTTGCGAGACTACCAACTTACTTGCATATCAGTGTCTCACGGAATTCTCTCTTTCTGCCACGAAAGACCAGTGTTTTGATTCTCATACACATTAAAGCAATTTTTTAGGGAAAAAAAAAGTTTAACAGAACACATAAAAAAAAAAAAATCCCCAGTAACTTCTCCCCAGAGAGAACTCCTGGGAATGTCTTAGCCCACTTCCCTCTGGATGTGTTTGTGTCCCCACCTCACTCAGAACTGCACCCCTCCCTGGCCCGGCTCTCTTCTGGAAGGCTGTGCTCTGCACACTCAGGTCCCACTCCTCATGTGTCCTATGCTAGTTCACGTGTACACGCTAAGTGTCTCTCCCAGGCACGAGGGGCTGACAAAGATTTTATCTAGAGGAAATAGGCTCTGAGATGCAGTTGCATGCTGAAGATCATGGAGTTGTGAGAAGTGAAACTGAGACCAGCACAGAGCCTGCTGCTCCTTCTGGCAGCCCCCAGGGTACCTGGGCAGCTCTGAACTCTGCAGGCACCAGAGGCTACTCTGCCCTCCACAGGGTTGGGGGCCAAACTGGACTGTCTCGAGGCCCAAGCTCCCCCTTCACA